AAAACAATCCACTGGACTTGGTTTCCAAGATTTGAAGACGTTTCGCTTCCCTTCCAGGAAGCTTTCTCAATTCAAATGTCCGCAGTGAGTTTGAGTCTTTATATAGACAAGGCCTTGTATCGCTTGGAAACATGCAAATTGAAACCGACGAGTCTTAAATTGAAACGTAGATGGTTCCTATAATCTGCAAGTTTCCTAAGCAATTTCTCACACTCACGCATTATTCCGGGGGTGTTTTTCCCAAAATGGAGTGCAATATGCTGATGAAGATTCTCAGTCATCCAGGTCATTCTGGTCGCTCCAAAGAATGTCTTCTGTCCATAAGGTGTAGATGTACCGCAGAGTCTTGTCCAGAGGAGTATATAAAGCCTGGAACTCAACGTTATTTCTGACATTTTGAATTGAAAAAGCTTCCTGGATGGGAAGAGAAACGTCTTCAAACTTGGAAACAAAGTCCAGAAGGTTGTTTATTTATACGGCACCAAATCACAATACGTCATCCGATGGCACTTTACTGAGACAGTAAAGTCAGATTGGTTGAAAGTTTCTGTCAAGGAAAACCAGTTGATTTATTCAAATCATTGGTTTTGCAGAATTCACTCTTCCTGGATGAGCATGTAGGGATAATAGTTATTCTCTTGCATTCTGTCATTGACTCTACAGCAATCCCTCACACTAAGCAAGCATGCGGCGACTGTCAGTAAAAAAATAAGGTAATTGTTTTTGGCATCTGTCTGTACATTTCGCTTCATTAAATGTAATCGATGTCATTTCTCTGGCTGTATATACCGACAGCTTTATTTGGTGAAGGGTTTTGTTTCTATTTATATTCAGGTGAATTTAGTTTGTTTGAAAATTGGAGTTTGGTTTTATGTTAACTAGTCTATTTTTGTGTGTATTTGGTTGATTTATTGCCAAAAAATGTCTGAAATTGAGTGAAATAAATTCCTTTTAACTTCATTTTGTTCATAACATGAAACTATTTTGTTAAAATAACAAAATATAATTAATTAGAAGCAAAAACAGTTCCATTATTTGATTTGATATTTCAGTAAGAAAACTATGTAACACCAGAGCTCCATCAGAGCGAGGTTCATTGTGAGCAGCCTTCTGCCGAGGTCGACTATAGATTCCAGGGTATAGAAGCAGAAACACAAAAGGAACATAGAGGCCATGTTCTATAAATACTTTCTACGTCAGAAAGGCTAACGGTAAGCTAACTCCACAGGTGGCTCTGTCTGGGAAGGAAACAGTTAATCAGTTTTTTGAGCCAGTTTTCATGTTAAAGGATGAAAAAGAGAACACCCAATCAGGGGCGGAGCTATATTGGGGGGCCAGGGGTGGCCATGGCTACCCTTAGCCAATCACTGGCCACCCCTACTATTTTTTTCCCTCTAATACAGATGGTGGCAGCAGTAATACTCTGAAGGGAAATGTTCACACTTATTAAACGTTTACATTTTTCACATATTAACAACTACTTGACAACAGAAATGCTGGTTAATTATGCACATCAATATACAAACATTAAAGATGATAAATACAGAATTCTTGCCATTTTCAGAACAAAATTTTGAATTATTTTGGGGTAAAGATAAAAAGATGTGCCTCTACAAGTCTTCAGTGAAATCATAGATAAATAACTACTTTAATAATAACTTAAAAATTCATTTAATGTGGATGTTAGTAAATTTAAATATTTATTTGCAGAATGATTATTGATAAAAATAGGTAATGAAAATGTAAAATATGTTCAACCCAGAACTTAAACCTAAAAGAATCTTGTCAACTATACCTTTTATTTACACAGCTTAGATGTTTAAATCTATCCAAAGGCTGCAGGAAAGTATCGTTTGTCTTTATTTAGAAAATATGGATGTTGTGGTCGTTCCTGTTGGAACCCTGAGGTTCTGGTGCCTTTCGGGCACCCCTAAATGTACATTGGTTATTGACTGGCCACCCCTACGCCTCTGCATCCAATTAGTCCCAGTTTAGAGTCCATAGATATGTCT